GATCTTGAATTTCTAATTCCTCAAGAGCATAGGTCTAGGATTTAGGAAAGAGAAGAAATCAAACAGAAACCAGTCATTCATTTCTGCCTGCAACTTTTTTAAAGGCTTTTACACCTTTGCCATAGTTTTCCCCTAAGTGAAGTCATTATTGAATTCTTTTCCCCCTTTCATTGGTTCATTTGTTGGGTAGATGTCTTAGGGAAATTCTCTCATGGACCTTCACTCAGTCCATCCTGATGAAGCCTGTCACCTTCATGTACTGATGAAAATACTGGTGCACATACTGAGGCTGAATTAACCAGATACTGAATCAAAACCGGATCAGTTCTGGTTCGTTAGAGACCAAGCCAAAAAGGAGGAGATTTAGGGTTTCTACCAACTTTTGCAGTCCAAAACTGACCAAACATGCAGTCAAGGTGCATTAGTAATTATTGAGGACTGGAATGCAAAAGTTGGAAACCATGGGGAAGGAATGTTAGGTAGTAAGAAAGTATGTAGTTGGTGACAGAAATGAGGCCTAGTGTCAAATGATTGTGTTTTGTACACTTAATGATTTATTCATAGTAAATACCTTTTGAAAAAACACAAGTGGTGACTTTGCACATGTACTTCACCCAATGAACTGCACAGGAATCAGATTGACTTTATTTGTGAGAAGAGTTGTTGGTCTGCAGTCAAAACCAGACCAAGTGCTGATTGTGAAAAAGACCATCAGTTACTCATGTGCAAGTTTAAATTGAAGCTGAATTAAAACTACTCCACAGAAGCCAAAATATGACCTGAATCTATTGCAGTTAAATTTAAGGTTTATCTCAAGAACAGAATTGAGGCATTGACCATAAGAAGGACTGTGGGAGGACAGCAAAGATATCATCCATGAAGAAAGCAAAAGATCATGATAATGAATGATGAGGAAGAAAAAAGCAAAACAGATGTCAGAGAAGACTATGAAAATTGCATTAGAGTATCAGGAAACTAAAGTAAGTGGAAGAAATGCAAAAGTAAAAGTTCTGGTGCAAAGATTACAAAGGATAACTTGAGAGGATAAAACAAAATATTATCACGAAAGAGCTAGAGTCAGAGAATAAAAAGAGAAGAACTCACTCAGCATTTTTCAAGTTGAAAAACTGAAAAACAAATTCAAGCCTCAAGTTGCAATCAGTACTAAAGCTATTACGGGCACAATCTTGAATGATGCAGGAAGGATCAAAAGAAGATGGAAGGAATACACAGAATCAATGCACCAAAAAGAATTGTTTGACATGGAAAAATTTCAGAAAGTACCATATGAATAAGAAACAAAGGTGGTGAAAGATGAAGTTCAAGAAGCACTGAAGGCACTGGAAAAAAATGAGGCCCCAGAAGTCAACAGAATACAAATTGACGTGTTTGAACTAACAGATGCAGCTCTGGATATGCTCACCAGTTTATGTATGCCAGGAGCTACCTGGCTGATTGACTGGAAGAGGTCCGTATTTGTCCTCATTCCCAAGAAAGGTGGTCAAACAGAATGTGGAAACTACCAAACATATCATTAATTTCTCATGCAAGCAAAATATTGTTGAAGATCATTTAAAAGCATCTAGAAGAGTACACTGACAGTGAACTACCAGAAGTACAAGCTGATTTTAGAAGAGGCTGTGGCACTAGGGATATCATTGTTGATATCCGATGGATCCTGGCTGAAAACAGAGACTACCAGAAGAATGTCTCTTTCTGTTTTATTGATTATATGAAGTCATTTGACCTTGTGTATCATAAGCAAATTATGGCTCACATTGAGAAGAATGAGAATTGCAAAACACTTAATTGTGCTCATATGGATTCTGTGCACAGACCAAGAAGCTGTTTGTGCGAACAGAACAAGGGAACACTGCATGATGCTGCCAGTCAGCCCAGTGGTGAGAATCTTTTTTTTCTTGGTGTTGAGCTTCAATCTATATTGAAGGCTGCAGTCCTTGACCTTCTGTAGCAAATGCCTCAGGCCCTCCTCAGGTTTGGCAAGCAGGGTGGTGTCGTGGGCATAGTGCAGTTGGTTGATGAGTCTTCCTCCAATCTTGATCCACATTCTTCCTCATAGAACCCACCCTCACAAATGATCTGCTCTGCATATAGATTGAAAAGATAAGGAGATAGTACACATCCCTGGTGTACACCTTTGCTGATTTTGAACCATGTAGTGTCTCCTTGCTCTTTTCTGACTACTGTCTCCTGGTCAAAGTATAGATTTCACATAAGCACAATCACATGTTCTGAGATTACCATTCTTCTCAGAATTAGCTATAATTTGTTATGATCGACACAGTCAAATGCCTTTACATAGTCAATGAAACACAGAAAAATATTCCTCTGGTATTCTCTGCTTTCAGCCAAGATCCATCTAACATTAGTTATAACATCCCTAGTACCATGGCCTCTTCTAAACCCAGCTTGCACATCTGGTAGCACTCAGTCGATGTGGTTGTTCCAGTTGTTTTTGGATAATTTTCAGCAGGATCTTGCTTGCATGTAATATTAACATTGTTCAATAATTTCCAAACTCTGTTGAGTCAACTTTCTTCGGATTGGGAATAAATATGGATCTCTTCCAGTTAGTTGGCCGGGTGGTTGCCTTCCAAATTTCTTGGCACAGCTTGGTGAGGTCGTCCAGGAAAGCATCTATTCATTGAAGTATGTCAATTGGTATGTCATCAATTCCTGGGGCCTTGTGTGTCTTTTTTTTCCCCCTAGTTCCTTCAGAGCAGCTTGAACTTCCTCCTTCATCACCACAGGCTCTTACTCACACATTGTTTCTTGAAATTCTTCTGTGTCAGCCAATTCCTTTTATTACAGTGAAGTGATTTTATATACTCCTTCCATCTTTTAATGCTTTCTGGATCATTTAATATTCTGCCCAATACATCTTTAAGTATTAAAACTTGAGACCTGAATTTGTTCTTCAGTACCTTCAGCTTAAGAAAAACTGAGCGAGTTTGGCCCTTTTTATTTCCTCTTTGCACATTTCATTATATTAGGAATACTTCCCCCCCCCCAACCCCGTTCAATGGAATGAAGTCCAAGCCTCATGTGGTTACCCAGAAGATAGCCTCTTTGATCTCACATGTTGCTCCTGTCTCTTTAACATATGTTCTTGGTATAGGATCTAGGTACTAGGAGCCTGCCTTATTTAGTGGACCTGGGCTGAGATGACCCAGTGAATAGGGAATTGCTTTCCCAGTCCAGAGGCAAATGATTCTCATCCGCCAGCTGCTCTGAAGGACCAAGATGGGTAACCTCCTCCTCTGCCATTCACAGCCTTTGAAAAGCTGCTGGAAAGTCAGCTCTGCATCAGTTCTGACTCCACAGCAGTGAGAGACGGTTAGGGGCTAGTACCTGAAAACCGTTCTCATGGCTGCTTTCCCCATGCACTTACCTGGCTTTTAAGATTCCCATGACCTCCAATGAACTCTTTCCTTGAAGAACTGACTATGCATTTAGTCCCCCAGACTTACACCGTTAGACTTGAAAATACAGTCATCCGTAGAATGAGGCAGCAAGCATACCTAGATCATTGCATGCGTAGAATGTTCTTTGCATGAAGATGATGTTCAGACTCCACTGACCTCCAGCTCTCAGCGTGGAGCAGCTATGAGGTCAGGTGGGCAGCCTGGGTTCCAGATGCGATACATTGATTCTCACTACCCTCCTAGAAAGAGAAGATTGTCATGAGGACAGGTGGTGAGTGGGAATGTTTTCTGAGAAAATTGTATTGAAGACTTCATTATAAGAACTGGTTCGTGCTTTTTTTCTTAATTTGCCTGTTCTGCCTGGCATATCTAAAACTTCCATCTCCTAATGTATGTCATTGCATGGACAGGAGGAGGATGAGAAGTGGTGGGTAGGACCGGGCGGGGACTGAGGAGGGCTGGGAGACAGGGAGAGGCCCTCCACAGTGCTCAGTAACTTAGGGGCAGAAACTACATGCCAGGGAGGATTCATTTGGGCAGATGTACTGTGGAATCCTCATTCCTCAGCTCTCTGGTAGGTGGTGGGTGTGTTATCTCTACCTGTGACTAACATGGAAAGTAGATATTTTGAGTATGTGTCATCTTAAGGAAACCCTGGTGATGCAGTGATTTAAGTGCTTAGCTACTGTGTAAAAGTTCAGCCACTAGAATCCTCTAGACGACCTGAAGGGGTAGTTGGCTTCTGCAAGGAGCACATCTTTGAGATGCTGTGGCACAGTTCTCTGTCCGTAGTGTCGCTGCAAGTGGGAATAGCCTTGAAAGCAGCAGCCTTACTTTTGGGTCTTAAGTTAATGGTTGTGAGAGAGTAGAGATACACAGACTCCAGATTCTTTTACCTGTTCAAGACTTTCAGTACCTCTCACCTTGAGTTTATCTCAGGTCCTGGCTCTGTGTATACAAGATTCATAAAGACGATGTGAAAGGTTGTCTTCTGTACTTTGATACCTTTGCTTTTATATCCACATTCACTCCACAAACTATTAAGCGTTGTCTACGTTAGATTTTCATGAATAGTTCTGAGTCAGAAAGAACATCTTCCTTATGTTTTGAATGCTTTATCTGAGAGAAATTTCTTCAAGGGGAATATAATGAAAAGTCAATCTGGTAATCAAATTAACTCTAGTTTGAAGAAAAGGCTGAAATAAAGGCCCCAGCACAAGTTTGGGTTCCAGATAATGTGGCCTGTTGGTAAGGAGTTGCGCTGCCAACCCAGAAGTACTAGGTTTGAACTGACCAGCTGCTTCTTGGGAGAAAGAAGGGCAGTCTGCAATTTACTGCCTCTGGAAGCCCGCTGAGTGGTCAGCTTTGAGTTACTAGGGACTTAATAGCACATAGCCACATTTAAAAAAAAACATTATTCTAACTGTAAATATAAATTTGTTTCTATAAATAATAATTTATTAACAATTAGACTTTTGAATATCAAACACTTTTGTTACACAGTGCACTGGTATTTTTCTTGGAAGTAATACGCTTTCATTTTGTCTCTTTCAGTTGACCAGATATATCACCTGGCATCTCCTGCCTCCCCTCCCAACTACATGTATAATCCCATCAAGACGTTAAAGACTAATACCATTGGGACATTAAATATGTTGGGTAAGTTATCATTTTCTTATTTTGCTATTCTTACTTTGGACATGTGGCCAGGAGGAACCAGTCCTTGGAGAAGGACATCATTCTTGGAAGGGTGGAGGGACAGCTCAGAGAGGAAGACCCTGGATGAGATGGATTGATAAAGTGACTGGGACAATGGGGGTAGGTGTGTTGGAGTCAGTGAGACTGGCTCAGGACAGGGCAGGCTTCAGAGCTGCTGTACATAACAGGTGACTCCGCGGCACATAACAACAACAACAAATGGACCTGAGAAATTACTAAATTTAACTTGCTGAAGTTGTTGAGATGAGGAACAGAAAGGGTGTCCAGAGCTTGGTGTTTATGTCTCTTAGACTCAATATTTGCAAGTGTCAAGCTCCATGAGAAGTATAATCACCTATTCTCCTAATTGAGGAAGGAAGTTTGTCCTTCTCTCTGTTATCATTGCTAGTCCCGGTCAGTAGACAGCACAGAGTGCTTCCCCTCTGCTGAGAAGGTACTGACTGTGCTCACTCTGACGCCTCTCCTTCCCCCACTCCACACTCACTCTGTGCCCTCCCTCTACCTTCTGTCCTCTAGCAAAACTACACATAATAAACAAAAAGCACATCAAACTCATGGCATTTAACAAGATAGCTGATTATGAAATGTAGTTGTAGCCAGGTCCCTCTGACTAGAGATATGCATGAAGATTATACTCAAGACCTTATCTCAGGGAACTTAGCACTCCACAGAGGAGCTAGAGCTTGCATGTAACATCAGTAGTATGGGGTAGGAAGCGAAAAGTTCTAAGAGGGAAACACCAGGGGAATGCTAGTAGGGGCTAAGGAAAAGGCAACAGCTGAGAAAGAGCTTGCACGGGAGTAAGATTTGGACATGGAGCTCTGGGAGGAATGAATGGAAAAGGGCTTTCCAGGAAAGACATGGACAGAAGCGCAAAGTAGAAGGTGGCTTGTCCGAGAAGAGGGAACTGATTGAGTCTTTGTTTTCTAAACTGAGAGGAACAGCGGCTAACCAGCCATTCTACCTGTGAGACAAGGTGACTGAATTTCACCTGACTTTCCTTGATTTCTCCTCGTCCCCAGGCCCGTGCTTGGCATCTTTGATGTGATGAAAGGTCTTTAGTAAGACCTTCCTTCATGCATTTCTTTGTGGATCCCTGCTCCCCTCCCCTAAATGTTCATATGTCCTCTTATTCTTGATACTTTCATCCTAGACCCGTTCAGGTCCACCCTGCCTCACCCCAAGTGCTCGTGGATGCTGTGTGTGCCTCTTCTCACTCTCCTAGAATGCTTCTGCCAGCACACACTGCCCTTCCACCTTGTATGCAGGGTTTGGTGCTGAGGGAGTTAGAGACACAGCTCCTCTTCTCTGGTGATGGTCCTCTTGACACAGAATAGCTCACCAGTGCAAGGTTTGGGAAACAGGATGTTAGGCAAAGGGAAGTGAACCTCTTTTGTGCTAAGTTTCATAGATCCTTTTAGGAAAATTATTACAACCTGAGACTCTGTATTTAAGAGAGTATTTGGGAAGCTCTTCATACATATCTAATCCTAGTTTAAAAACAGATAAGAAACCCTCGTGGCCTTGTTGTAGCATTACTAACAAAAGAACAGCGTGTCTTCTGTGATTCAAGTCCACCAACAGCTTTGAGGGAGAAAGATGGGCAGTCTCCTTCCATTAAGGTACACAGCCTGAGACATTCAGTGGACGTTTGCTGTTGATGATCAGAACTGACTTGATGGCAATAAATTTGTTTCTTAAAAAGATATTGGTGGAAACAAATCCATTCTGATGTCCCTGACTGGCACAAACAGCTGAGAACTCAGCTGCCAGCCAGAAAGTTAATGGTTTCACCCCACCCGAGGGCACCGTGGACGAAAGGCCTGGTGATGTGTTTCTGGAAAAGGTCACATAGCCATGAACACCCCGAGGAGCAGTTCTGCTCCACTCAAGTGGGTCGTCAGGAGTTGGAACTGTCTTGGAAACCAACAGTTTTGTTTTCTTAGGTGTGAGTGGCAAATGCAGAGAAGGGGGTCAGAGCAAATTTGACAAAAAATGGCGAAGGTGCCCTTTAAATTGAACTTTGAAGGAGATAAAGAGGAGGGAGAATGCGGGGGGAGGTGGGTGGGTGGGTATTGTGTTGCCTAGTTAGAAGTTGCAGGGGTAAATGTTCAGGAAGTATGTGGATAGCAGACAGTAAGGTAAGAAGAACCATGCCTTCTGTCTGCCGGTGTGGAGCTTCCTGATCACATCCTTAAGGGTGATATTTTGCGACAAAGGGCTTTTTATGAAGCTCATAAGTCATGGCCTATCAAAAGGACAGGTTGTGCATTTGTGCACCGTAGGTGCTGCTTACAACCATAAGCATCCAATGAATTGTTGTCCTGAAGATTCATTTCCATTTTTCTTACATTGAGTTGTTGGGGTTTATAATTTTTCCCATTTTCTTTTCAAAGCTGATTCACTGAGAGTAGGTAGTCAATAAGATATATAATCAGATACTTTTAACACTAAAAAAAAAATAAATAAATAAAATCTTAAGCTGGCTATAAAAATGGCCCTTGCACGTGTGCTTTCCTATAACTGACAGCTTCTCATGTTTTTGTTTCCTGCAGGACTGGCAAAACGAGTGGGCGCACGGCTCCTCCTGGCCTCCACTTCTGAGGTGTATGGAGGTGAGTGAGGGGAGCCATCTGGGGGTGGTCGCTCCAGCCCCAGTTGCATCCTGTCTCAGATAAAAGATGATTGCAGGACCTTTGTAAGAAAACCACGCCTATACTTCCTATTACAATGGATAATAGCTTTTGTTTCAGCATCTCCTCTGGCTAGGATGAACCGGCCCCACATCCCGCCCAGAAACTTCTGATGCACACCCTGGGATTGCTATAAATTACAACCTTGCAAATTAAAGACACACCTCTTAGGATTCCACAAAAGTCTCCTGTTATTTTATCTTTTTTAAAAAAAATAATTCTGTTCTGTAAACACCCCAGAAATCAATTAATCTTCACAAACTGTTTCTCTGGCATATGCTATTCTTTGGTGGAAATACTGTTTGTGGCATCTGACCTTCCAAGAACATGGTGAAGACATATGCATGGATAGCCTGAAATGTTTTTTGACGATTTCTAGAAGAATCATGAATGGAGTGTACCAGAAAAACGAACTTCTCTTTACCGGCCTGCAGCACACATCGCCCCCGCCCCCCGCCCCCAGCCCAGATCCAACAATGACACTATTTTGCCCTTAGAGTGAGTGAATGTTAAGGGTGGGAACTGAAGCTACCATCTCAATTCATGCTGATTCCTCCTCAAACCCAATCCCCGCATGAGTGCACTGTGTGGGGAAGTGCTTGCTTATCTCCGTGGCAGCCAGACTCCGACGTGATGATTTTTCTGCTTCACATTGTGGACAGAAGCAATAAGAAAGTAAATGGGTCAATTCTGAGGTGACCTTTGTTTTTTTAATTTTTCTTTTAAAGTCATCAATGAAACAAATAATCTCCTAAATGTAGTTATGTCTGTGCAATTTCTGGGGAAAAGACACAAGATCCTATACTTCTTTGAAATCTCTGGAAGTTAATGGAATGGTCTACCTTACCTCATGTATATATATATTCTAACCTCACTTATATTTATTCAGTTGTTTTTGGAATGGACAATTTAGGGGACTCTTGCGTTTCCCCTCCTTATTATTCCTTTATCATGATTTGGCCAATAAAGAACTTTCCGTTTTCACTTTGCATGTCCATGGTTAGTACCTTTTGGTGACACTGACTGGCTTAATAAAAGGAAAGGTGTAGGAATCTTTTAAAATACACATGTACTCTGGTGACCTAGTGGTAATGAGTTGCACTGACAACCAAAGGCAGCTAGTTTGAATCTACCAACTGCTCTTAGGGAGAAAGATGACAGTCTCCTCCTGTGTGATTTACAGCCTCTGAAAACCCACTGGAAGGTTAGCTATGAGTTGATTCTGATTTGATGGCAGTGAGATTAGAGCTGAGGGAGTCATGTCATGTGTCCAGAAGGATGCAGTGACGTCTCTTCACATTTCTCCTTGTTCCTCCGTCCACCTCTTTTACTATTATCTGCCTTAACATTTTTCAAAAGGCTTATTTAATCATTGTGATGTAATTAATGGCATTTGGCTTGTGCTTTAATCTGATCTTTGATGAGTTAAGTAAGCTGAAGTTTTGTAGCCTGCTTGCTTCATAACAGTAACCCCACAGAAGGCTAAAAAGAGGAGACGGATTGTAAATTAATTATAACTCTAAACCATTGCATTCTCTCCCCCTCTGTCTTGTTTTTTAGATTTCTTGGCAAAGATGTATATGCTTTACAGTCTGCTTTTATTGGGAGTGTGAATAAAATTCCTGATGTATCACATAAATTAGCTATTAATTCAAAGTCTAAAAATAAACTATTTTATAAAAATTTGCAACTAAGTATCTTTAAATAGTCTGTTCCCCTGGTACATTTTAAAGAGAGATTTGATTTTGCACATTAGAAAAACTGGAGTTAGGAAATAGAAAATAAGCTTTGGAGGAACAGGCATCCATTTGTCACTGGACCACTTGTTCCCGGCCCTCGTGTTCCTGGACCACGCATTCCCAGCCCACACTAGCTGGCCGTCTGGTTTACTTGTCTCTGGTTTCCAGATTTGTTTTGGTGATGGCATGTTTGAAAGTCATGGGGTTCTATAAAGATTTTCTTTTTAAAATTGTCCATTAGTTCAAAATACCACTTTTATGGCACATATTTTATAAACCATATATCTTTTTTCTATATTGTTGTTGTTCGGTGCCATTGAGTCACTTGTGACTCATAGCGACTCTTCGTACAGCAGCTTTGAATCCTGCTTTGTCTTGAGCCAATACCATTGTCTCTGATACTCCTACCCCCATGTCAAACCATCTCATCCAGGGTCTTCCTCCTTTTGTGCTGCCCTTCCACCCTCCAAGCATGATGTCCTCCAGGGACTGGTTCCTCTTTGCAACATGCCCAAAGTATGTCAGACAGAGTGTATTTAATTACAATTTGTATAAGCAACCTAAAAATTAAGCACAGTTTAGAAGAGAGAATGAAGACATAAAATTGAGAGACTTGAATCTTTTGATTGATTTTATTTCCAGCTATAAAATAGACAACTACCAGTATCATTTAATATTGTTGTTGTTGTTATGTGCCGTCGAGTCGCTTGCAACTCATAGCGACCCTATGTACAACAGTTCTAAACTCTGCTCTGTCCTGAGCCAGTCACACTGTCTCTGACACTCCCATCCCGATTAACCCAGTCACTGAATCAATTCACCTCATAGAGGGCCTTCCCCTCCTGCGCCTATCTCCTTGGATGGAGGAGATTTCATTGTAGGACAATGTAATGACAGCAGAGGAGAGGAAGACCTTCCACCAGGTGGATTGACACTGTGACTGCAGCAATGGGATTGAGTGTGTTAAGAGATTGTGAGGATGGCACAAGATAGAATAAGGTTCAGGTCCATTGTCTATATGGTCGCTATGAGCCATACTCTGTGGCACTTAACAACAAACAACAAAAATAGCAGCATTTGTAAATGCTTACCCTGGTCTTTTCAAGTGCGACAAGGATGGCCAATCTTTTCTAGTGGTGCGATTGTGTGTGTGCCCATTGGTAAATACTTACTATAGTCTTTCCAAAGTTCATAAATCTGTATTGCTAATCAGCTTGTAAGACGAAAGATGAAATAAAGTGTCGTTTTTCTCCTACCCCTAGATCCTGAAGTCCACCCTCAAAGTGAGGATTACTGGGGACACGTGAATCCCATAGGACCGCGAGCGTGTTACGATGAAGGAAAGCGTGTTGCAGAGACCATGTGTTATGCCTATATGAAGCAGGTAGGCTCTTAATCAGGCTCTGGGCGGTTTGTGGTTTCTATGAGCAGAGCTCCTGGGGTGGATGGTTTTGATGTTTTTAAGTAACGTCAAATAGAAATATCTCGAAAGGAATTAAATGTCATGATTAATGTTACCAGGAGATGATGTTGGAGAAACCCAGTTTTCATTGTTATGAATTATGAACATTCTCCCCCATTTATCTTTTTTTCTTTTTCAAAGATGGCTTCCCGGAGTAAATTTGTAGATTTTTAGTATTATTGTGTGCCAATGAACTGTATGCTTCTGTATTGTCAAATTGCTAGTGAGTGCATCTGTCTTCACATCAGTGGATTTTTAAAAAATTTTTATTTTGGTAATCTTACTCTCTCACATGTTGTAGTAGAAAGATCTCAGACTTGGTAGACCAAGGAGCTGGCTTCCAATACTGACTCCGCCATCGTGTGACCGCTAGTCTCTCAGTTCTTGTGGTGTTGGTAGAGTTGATTTATCATACCTCAGAGGTCTGGGAAGGAGCAGGTGAGACAGTTTAGGTAAGGACTTCTGGGTGTAGTCAAGTGATGCATCAGGCTAATATCCTGCATCTTATCAGTAACGTTGTCTTCCTTGTGCTTGCGTGAGTGCTTTAAGATCTTTAAGATCTTAATGGAAATAAGCCATTCATCCCTTTCATTCAAATTAGAAACATGGAGATTAATAAACATGGACACGAGACAGAGTGTTGGCAGATGCTAAGGGGCTGACCTGTGCTCTTGGAGACCTGAAAGCTGAGTGAATATCTGTTCTGGTGAGCAGCATTTCTCAGCTCTGGGGCCACACTGCAGGCAGACTTGGCCGAGGTATGCAGTGTCTTCTGCGAGTGTCTGTCCTAGAGCCCTTGGACCTCCCAGTGCTCGGCCCTCACAGAATGCCAGGGTGTCCTGCTCCAGGCGTTTCCACAGCCTGAGAGCTAATGAGGCGGTATGAAATCACACACATGTTGCTTTGGATTTTCCTCCCTTCCTCTTTCCTTTTTTGGGAGAGGGGTAACGGAGGTTTCTTTCTCATCACAATTTTAAGGCAATGGCAACGTTACAGACTCCCAAAGTAACCCTGTGGTGATGTATTTAAAACTTTGTTGTTTACTTCTTTGTCAAAACAGAATCAGTGCTAGGCTACTTTGGGAACTTGGTTTATATTCTTTAGTCTTAGGAATAGGAATGAGTTAATGAGTATCTATACCATTTTGAATATCTTGACATAAGAACAAGATAGTCTACTGGAGAGGCAGAACAACCTTTGTGTATATTTGTACAAAGAAATGAACTAAAGTTGATGTGGGGCAAGTAGGTTTATTTTAGTGTGTAAGGAGCTGTGGTAGCCTAGTGGCAAGAATCTGTGCTGTAAGCCCAAAGGCACGCAATTCGAGGCCACCAGCTACTCCATGGAAGAAGGGTGGGCAGTCTACTCCCATGCAATTAACTGACTCTGAAAACCCACCAGAGGGTAAGCTATGGGTTAGTTGTTATGATACATAACAACAACAATTAGTTTGGGGAGTAATATTTATGAATTGGTTTTGATCATAACAGTAGCCATGTAGCAGATATCCACAGACTTTCTGGGAAGGAAACCATGATAATTAAAGTCTAAGCTCTCTGCTGTTAGTTGTTGAGTTGATTACAACTCGTGATGACCCTGTGTGTTCAGAGTAGAATTGATCCATTGGGCTTTCAAAGCTGGGACCTTTCAGAAGCAGATCATCGTGTCTGTCTACCTCTGTGAGCATAAACTGCTTGCCTTTTGGTGAGTGGCCCAGTGTTAGCTTTTTGTGCCACTCAGAGACTCTTAAAACTGTCGTATAACCCCCAGCAGTTTATAGGTTTGCTCGTTTATCCCTGTGTTTAGCATGTTACCCAAGGACTGATGTTTACCTGGTACACTTTGCTGTGGTGGTGTCACGGTAGTTCTTCTGGACTTGTGAGCAGGTGTGATAAGGGTACCTGACCCTATGGTGCCCTCATTCAGCTATGTGGCCCTAATGAGTGAGGTATCTGAATTTTGTCTGGACCTGATGGCTTTGGCTGTTAGTAGTGGAAGTCAGGGCATCCTGCTAATAAGAGTAAACATGGCTAGAAGCAGTGGCGCTGAACACAATCCATTATTGCCTTGCATGAGATCTGAGAGACTTCTAAAAAGGACATTAGATGAACTTTCTATCTTCTATTCCCTATTTATGTTAGGAACATATTCTATTCTCCTATATGGAGAACCACGAGGTCCAAGACTGGTCCCAACTGGGCCCTAAAGATCATACCTGCCGCACAGTCTCTCTTTTCTCTGGATCAGTGTTGAGGAGGTAAATGTGAGAGCCTGTCCTCTCTGCTCGTAGTAACAGATCCCAGGAATTGAGAGAGGTTTAAATTTCTATGATAGCATGATGTTCTAAATTATATGGGGGGAGGTGGAAGGAGAAAACATGAACAATCAAAGAGGAAGGAAAATTGTTACCCCTGATCTCATCTTAAGGTTAAAGGCGAAAAGTAAAATAAAAGCCACCCTCTTAAGATTTTGAAGGATGAAGACATTTGAGACACAGAGGTGATGCTTTTATTCTACCATCAAGGGGGACACTGGTGGCCTACTGGATAAGGAGTTGCACTGCCAACCTAAAGGCAGGCAGTTCAAAGCCACCTGCTGCTCTGCAGGAGTAAATGGACAGTCTCCGTCTGTGTGATTTGCAACCTCTGAAAATTTGCTGGAGGACCAGCTATGAGTTGGTTTCATCTCAACAGCAATGAGTGAGTGGGTTACATCAAGGATGGATGAGAGAGCCTCCTTCCCATGGTTGGTCCACCTCTTGATCAGTGGTCTGGTGTGAAGGAAGCAGACGCAACATGAAGGTGGCCAAGTCTGACTTCTACCCATTTCATAAAGAGAAATAGTCCTCATCAGTAAGTCCATGGTGCTGTATAAATAGCTCCATAGTTAGATATGCCATCTCACATGCTCCTGCCCCGATTTTTAGCAGTCATTTGATCAGACTGGCAATTTGTTGCAAGACTCAAAGACATTACTAACAGTTGCATGGTTTATTAGGGAAATAGGTTGGCAAGTGGGGGAGGCAAAGACTATCTCACATCTCACAATGTAAGTCCAGGTTTAGTCCATCAGTCCCAAGTCAGTTTAACAAGGCACAGTCCCTCAGTGAAAGTCCAAGTTCAGTTCAACAGCACAAATGCAAGAAGCCTCTGATTTCCTGTCAACACCCAGAAAATCTTATCTCAGAGCCGTTATAAGTCAGGTTTTCCTAATTTCAGTTCAGCAAGGAAAAATTAAAAAAACAAACAAACAAACAAACAAAAAAAAAACCCTTGTGGCCACATCTCCAGAATTCCTCTGGTTACACCTTGCTACAGTCTCTTCACAGTCACTCCACCACCATCTCTCACCATATCTTTCCAGTCTCTCCACCACCTTATATGGGTCTCACAGCTGTTGACCAATATGTCCACAAGACCATATGTCCACAGTTAAGCATGCCCTCAGCGAAAAGCCAATTTTCAAGTGTTCTGACAGTCCAGTTGGCCTGGGACAAATCACTGGATGATTTTGCTGCTTCTCATTTCTTTTAGGGAGCTCTAATGACCTAGTGTATAAGGAGCTGTGCTGCCAACCCATAAACATGCAGTTTGAATGCAGCAGCCACTCTGCAGGAGAAAGATGGATCGTCTACTCCTGTGAGATTTACTGCCTTTGAAAACCCACTGGAGGGTCAGCTATGAGTAGATTCTGACTGGATGCACGTAACAAAAACATTTCTCTTGGATTTGGTGACTGTAGCTCCTACAGATTCCAGTACCCACAGTACCCACAGGGTGGTTGTTGATGTTCATGTCTTGGGTAGACTGCTGTCTTGAGGTCACATCCTGAGTTGAGGATATTCTGCACCTGTAGGAGGCATTGATTGGAAAGACATAGGAACTAGGCCCTCTCTTAGGGATTCAGTCTGTTTCATCTGCCCTCATCCTGCAGAGCTCCTTTCGAGGAGCATGTGACTGGCCCCATTTCAAATGGGCGAGCAGGCTCCAACCTTGCTTCCAGCTCCCTGGCTCTGAGTAGACATTGCACCCCAAGGTAGGCTCCCTGCAGTGCCATGCTCCTTCCCCTGACCACCTGTCCCCGTGGGACTGTTCCAGCCAGATGAGATGTGAAATGGGTCACTGGAGAGTAAGGAGGCATGACTGAGAGAAAAAAAGGAACGCATGTATCTGAGTCTATGGGAATTGAATTTATTTGAGTCTTGGTTTGTTTTTTGTTGGTTTTTTTTTTTTTGTGTGTGTGTGTGTGTGTGTTTAGAATGTTCATCATAGTGTAACTTTACCCAGAATAAGTTGTCCTTAGGAGGGTTGTTCTAGAATTATCACAGTGCTGAGATTTATCCACAAGGAGCTGTGTTGTGATATGATTGGATTTTAGTTTTAAGTGTGTGGTCTTTCAAGATAACATGTTCTAGGAGAAAATTCAAAACTTGTGGTGTTAAATTTGTGCTCTCTAGGGGCAAATCAAGGGGAAAAATAATCAAAGAAGAGTAAGCAGTGGAAAAATACGCCTTTGGCCACTTTTATAATTTATTGATTTTACAACTTATATTCTTATTTTTTTTCAATAAATGACATATTCTTCTTACATATGAATCCTCATTGTGTTCTCAAGACACATACTCCCCAATAGCACAGGAGTGTATCTTACTTTGAATAAACCCCATTGATAAGAAAGAATTGGCTACAGTTACATCAAGATATGGATAATCAGTTTATAAAAGCTTTCCCTTTTTTACAAAGACTTTTCCCCTGGGTTTCTTTTTAAGAATGAAGCAATGCATTTGAAAATAGAATTTGCTATCCCAGAAAAATCTGCTTTTTTGAAAACATCACTTACGTTACAGAAAGCTATCTCAGGTTTCCTTCCAAATAGTTCAAAGGTGACTGTTAGGTTCATAGGGGTTCCAGTAGTAGTTTGAA